TGTGTGTGTTTGCCGGCGCGTGGTGGGTGGCGGAGGGGTGTTGCGACCCCTCCCCCACCACTCAATCCATCAATCAATCAATCAATCAATCAATCAATCAATCAATCAATCAATCAGTTAAAAAAAAAAAAAAAAAGGAAAATCGAATGAATCTTTCATTAAAACATGGCAATATAAAATATTGTGTGTGTGTGTGTGTGTGGGCCTGTTGGGGATGGGGCCTGCCCCCACTAATCAATCAATCAATCAATCAATCAATCAATTAATCAATCAATCAATCAACGAAAAAAAAAAAGAAGCAAAATCGAATGAATCTTTCGCTACAACATGGAAATATACAATCCTACCTATGTGTGTGTGTGTGTGCGCCTGTAGGGCCAATCAATCAATCAATCAATCAATCAACGAAAAAAGAAAAAAGGTAAAAAAACGCTGTTTTTTTTTTTTTTTTCGAAATACCTTTACTTCACGAAAACCCCCCAACCAAAAAAAAAATTTTTTTTTTTTTTTTTTTTTTTTTTTTCCGAGGGGGTGGGGCAGGGGTTGCGCCATCCCATGGCGCTTCCCAAATCCCCAACCCTCCTCCCCACTGGCCGCTACGTGGCTTCAAAACCGCGCGTTTGCGCGGACACGTCCGCGGGGTCGGCGGTCTGGCCGCGTCCGCAGATTCGGCCGCGCTTGGCCGCCGCCGACTGGGATTCATAGGACCCTGCAAAAAAATGTTTTGGCACCTAAGTATTATTATTTGTTTTTGAGTTTTGTTTTATGATTTTTTTGTGATGTAAGGTATCTCCCTCTTAATTTTGAAGGCATTCTGTTGAGCCCAAAAAAAAACAAAAATCGGCAAAGATGGGAGTGTAAAAACTTGCTTACCCACTCACTAATTTGTTTTCTGTCTCTTTTCACTTTTTGTTTTTTCTTTATTTCGGGGCATGAAAAAAAATATATTTTTTTCAAACTTTATTTTTAGATTCTATATTATGTAAGGTACATATACATAAATTTTCACGTCATTTGTCATAGCTAAAAAAAAAAGAAAAACTGCCAAAGATGGCAGTGTCAAAAGCGTGCTCGCCCACTCAATAATTTCATTCTCGTTTTATTTTTTCTAATTTTTATTATTATTATTTATTTTTAGTATTTGATTTTTATTTTAAATTTAATAAAGAATTTTTATGTAACGTTGTAGCGGACCTCGGGTTGGCCTGTGAGACCAGCCCCTTGGCCTGTTCTCACAGGCCTGTAATATATTCGGGGTAGGCCAGTCCAGGCCGGTACCTCTRTCGGTACCAGCCAGTCCAGTCCAGTCCCGTCAGTCCGCTGGGGTATACCCCAGCCATTGTCTGTTTTCAGCCTCATTCCTCACTTGCACATTTTGGAGTACGTGCGTTGGAGTCTTGCGTGGGGAGCTGCGTTGTGCCATCTTGCTCCCCCTTCTTCCTCCATCTCCATCTCCGTCACTAGCGGAGCACCACACCTGGTGGGTCCGCTACATTGGCATCGGAGCGGGAACGGTCCCCGCCTCCACCCACCACACCGCACAGCAGCGAAATACTGCAAAACCCGACAGTCGGGTTTTCGGCTGTTTTTGGGGCGTTTTCGGGCAAAAAAGCGGGAAAAACGACGGGAAAAGGTGCTGCAGCAGGAGAGCTCCACGTGGCGAAAAAGGAAGCCGCATCACGACGCGTGCGCGCAAGCGCCAAGGCCAAGGCCGCCGCACGCGCGCGCGTGCCACGCGCCCACGCTGCCCCGCCCCGCCCCGCTCCCAGATTTA